GACCAAGGAACACATTGTATCGGGAACTAGAAGCATATTTCAAGAGAATGAATAGCAACTGGGAAGGAGAGCCCTGCATAGAGTTCAATGGGAACTCCTGGTGGGAGGCCTTTGCCCCTCCACCAAGGGGAACAGGCTTAAGCTTTCTAAATCATCCTTAGTGTCCACGAATCAACAGATATCACGATGATAGAACTTTGAGTAAAATCAAAACTATATCTATTGAATATCACTTGTGTAATTAGTAATCACACTACACAATATAATGCAGTCTTCGAGGCACTAGTTTACTTATTTGTAAGAATTTGCATTGATTACTATTTCATTGTGGAACATTTTTGTTTATTTTTCCTAGATATTTATGTAGCTCCATGTTATTATTATCCGAATCGAGCTGGTACAACAGACAGACCTTCATTCATGCTTGGAGTAGAACTAAAAACCGGTGAAAAGCCTCCTGAACATTGGACAAAACGAAGTACTGCACTTCTGATGAACTTAGACGTCTAATATCAAAGATCATGACAACGATGGTGTATCGACGACTTATACTTTTTTCGATATGTTATTATTTCTATATTGTTTTGGTAACTGATAGGAATTAATCCAAGCGGTTATTGTTGCCAGTGTTATTAAATTTCAACAATGTCCAAATAAGCTATAATATTTTTTATCAGAACAAGTTATATAATTGAGAGTGATTTTCGTAGTTTCAACTGGATGCTTACTTATTGGTTTAGTGAAAGTCGTAGGATCCATGATGAGTGATTATTAACATATTAAATAGCTAGTTGGACATAACTGTATCTCAATATGTTAATATTTCTACTGTGATTCTATTGTCACTGATTGCTGCAAGTGTAAAATAGTTACTTATTAAGTCACTTACCACCCACAGATTGCAATGGATTGTGTATTTAATTTCTAATCATGAAAACATGATTCAGTTCATACTTTCGCAACTCTACATTTACGGACCATCTTCAGTTCAGATGCGATTGGAAACCAGGAAGCATTAAACAACTGTTACTGATTAGAACTGGACTACTCAACAATGTAAAACCGAGAACACACTTAGGAATAAAATTGGAACCTTCGTGTCTAGAATCAAATATTTGACCTTCAAACTACCAAAATTCGATTCATAACTTCAGCCAACCCCATAAAATAATAATTACCGTGTTTTTACCAGCGACTAAATGTGAGAAGTGATCCCCAGAATTCTAGGCAGAAGCAGCAGCAGTAGCTCTTCTAGTTACTGCCGGTCCCAAGCCCGGCTAAAGGAGGGTTGGGCATGAAGTTAGTGACTCCATCCTGTAGAAAACAATCTTGCTGAAAAATCCCCAACCAGATTAAACAAATTAAACTTCTCCCTGGGAGTTGGAGGAAGAATTATTACGCCTCAATATGAAAGCCGAAATTCTTCCGAATTCACGAAGCCGATGACCCTTCTAACAACCAGACCAACAATTTTTATAGGCACATGGAGTGTCCGGACAATGTTGGAGACCGGGAAGACCAGTCGAATAGCAACGGAAATTAGAAGATACAAATCAGCAGTACTTGAAATCAGCAAAACCCATTGGACAAAAGCTGGACAGCAAAGGCTAGATACGGGAGAGATGCTACTGTACTCCGGTCACAAAGGGGAAAATGCTCCACACACTCAGGGAGTTGCTCTAATGCTGTCCAGAGAAGCACAAAATGCACTTGTAGGATGAAAATCTCACGGATATAGAATCATCAAAGCATCATTCAAAACAAAGAAGGGGATGACAATGAATATTGTCTACCCACCAACGATAGCAACGACGACATTAAAGATTAGTTCTACTCGAGGCTACACTCTATCATAGCTAAGTGCCCAAGAAAGGACCACATCATCCTGATGGGAGATCTAAATGCCAAAGTAGGAATGGACAACACCAGATACGAAGATATAATTGGATGGCATGAACTTGAAGAGATTCGCAAATTTATGTGCATTCAACAAATTGGTAATAGGTGACACAATATTTCCATACAAGCACATACACAAAGCTAAATGGATCTCACCGCACCACACCACAGAGAATCAGATAGATCATATTTGTATCAACAAACAATTCTGAAGGACAATAGAAGACGTGAGAACCAGGAGAGGAGCTGACATAGCTTCAGATCACAGCTGGCTGATTGTGGCCAAGGTGAAACTGAAGAAACACTGGACAAACAGCATCACAAAGGTTTAATACAGCCTTCCTTCGAGATACTAACAAACTCAATGAATTCAAGACAACTCTCAACAACAGGTTCCAAGCCTTACAGAATCTACTGAAAGAACAAGAAACTACTATGGAGGAAAACTGGAGAGGTATCAAATAAGTACCAACTTCAACTTGTCAAAAGCTTCTGGGTCGCAGGAAGCATCATCATAAGGAATGGATATCTATGAGAACCCTGGACAAGACTGAAGAAAGGAAGAACAAGAAGACAGTAATTAACAACAGTCGAACAAGAGCAGAGAAAGTTAAGAGACAACCAGACTACGCAGAAGCAAAAAAGTAAGCGAAGAAGCTCATTAAAGTCGATAAGCAGAAATACATGGAAGAACTAGCAATGACAGCGGAAAAAGCTGCAAGAGAAGGGAAACTGAAAAAACTATGTGATACAACGAAGAAACTAGCAGGACAATATAGTAAACCGGAGAGACCAATCAAGGACAAAGAAAGCAAGACAATCACCAAGATTCAAGAACAGATACGTGGAAAACATGGAGGAACTCCTAAATTAACCAACTCCATTGAATCAATCGGACATCCAGGCAGCACACATAGACCTTCCTATAGATGTCACTCAACCAACGGTCGGAGAAATCAGGATGGCCAGTCATCAAACAAATCAAGAATGGCAAAGAAGTACGACCTGAAAATATACCAGCTGAAACACTGAAGTCAGACAATGAAGCAACTGAAAACATGCTTCACCTTCTATTCAAGTAGATTTGGGAAGAACGACAAGTGCCATTGATAGACTGGAAAGAAGGATACCTCATCAACATAACAAAGAAAGGAGATCTGATCAAATGTGAGAACTACAGAGGCGTCACACTATTGTCAGTACCAAGAAATGTTTTCATCAGTGTTGCTGAACCGGATGAAAGACCCAGTAGACGCCCAACTCTGAGATCAACAGGCTGGATTCCATAAGAATCGGTCGTGCACAGACAGAATCAAAACACTACGGATCATCGTCGAACAATCGAACTCGTAACTATACATCAAAAATACTCAACATTCACCGGCCGTATACCAACATCAACAGCCTAATATGGGAGAGAACAAACCAGCTTCGATCTGAAGAGGAAGTTAGGAAAAGACATTAGAAGTGGACAGGACATACATTACGGAAATCACCAAAATGCATCACGAGGCAAGTCGTAACTTTCAATTCTTAAGGGAAGCGGAAAAGAAGGCCAGAGAACATACAGTGTCGGGAATCGGATTCAGATACGAAAAGGATGAATGAAAACTGGAGAGGATTGCCCAGGACAGGGTTGGATGGAGAATGCTGGTGGGTGGCCTGTGTTCCTCTACGAGGGGTAACAGGCGTGAGTAAGCAGATAATGAAGTCCAATCAAGTCGGGCGTGAGACTAATGGCGTTGGGTAATGGTAGCCTAGTTTTGTTAATTGACCTTAGTTAGAAGTGTAAACCACCAGATGAAGGTCGTGAGTTTGATTTCTGATATGTTAGTAAATGAGCACTACTGAGCGGCCTCATAGTAGCACAAAACGGCTGTCCAGTGTTCTAGAGTTTCCAATAACTATCTAACCGAAATCAGACCGTGGGGTGAAGCTGCAAATTTAACAAGCCCACACACTGACAGTTCACATATTTTCTTGATGGAATGTTTATTCAATAATGTAACATGGCAATTCATACAACGTCAATTCCCTGTGACTATTTCTCATAGTAAACTGGTTTGCAACCCAGTTAAAAAATCTCAATGGACTATCTTCATTATACAAATAAAATGAAAGATCCACGAGTAAATCACCCAGCGCAGAGAATACAACACCCTCAATATGCTTAGCCTGAGCTACAAAAATTTCCCCATCATCTAGTTGTTACAGGGCGTTGTATCAGTTTAGTGGAACATTTTCCATAAAAAGCAAGCCTCTCTGAAGAGAATGATCCGTAGTAAATCTATATAGGAAAATTATAACCTTGATAGAAGAAAGTTTGGGTGATAGATTAAGAGTAAAAATAAAACATTTCTTACTCATAAAATGAGTTCCAACAAAATATTTGGTCGGAATGGATGTTATATAGACCACATGACTCGTTTAAAAACATTGTGCCTGTTATGTATATAACTGCAGTACAACTATCATCTAAGTCATAAGTGCATCGAATTTTAGGCTTCCAATTTATCCGAAACTTACACTGTTTTCTTTAATAATGTATATTATAAATACTTTACTGTAAACTGAACCCAATAAGTGCATGGAAAACACGTAGGATATGATTTAAACATAATATGCCAGCTAGATATTCCCCTCATTATATTTCCCAATAAAATACGTTGGCCCATAGGATGGTTAAAGCAAATTTTATTTCGCTTATAAAATTTAATACTCTTAGAGACGAAAATATATATCTTTGAGACCAGCGATCCACTGTGTATCCACTATAACTACCGCATCACTTGCTCCCTTGATCACCTCATAATTATTTAACCTTAACTCGTTTCTCTTAACGAAGACAGCTAGGATGTCGAATTTCAACCCAAACGTATAAGTTTATGGATCTCAGTTCAAAATGTGTTAATCAGATCATCGCAGATACTGGCAAATTGCAGTCTACTGAATACTTTTTTGTTGTAAATGCTACCACTTACGGTATAAGATATGTATGTCTCATAAAGCTTGACATACACCCACAGTTATGAATCAAAATTATTTTTGCGATAAAATAACAATTATTTGTAATACGACCTCTGAATTAGGAAAACAAAAGATAGATGGGAGATGTTGTATATTTGTAGAGCATGTAGGAAAGTAATAAACATTTAAAAATTCTTTATTAGATAATTCCTAAAAATACAATGATTCTTTGTAATAAAAATTAAACTGAGATTTCGACCAACGAATAACCGTCTATAACCTGCTTACGACCCTATATTAAGTTAAAATTAAGACATAACCAGTAAGCTTTAGAAAATTTTATGTATCTTGTTAGGACATAGACAACAAAGCACGTAAATTCTCGAATCTTTCCTGATAAGATTATTTCATTTGCAATCATATGCACACTAAGTTTATTTTTAAGAAATTGTAATCATCACAATCAAAGGTAAACGAAACTTGTAACTTCTCGGAAATAACAATGAACATTTTTTGTACACAATTACAATACATACACGTTACATTACAGCAATACATTTTAGAGAGTCTATTGAGTAAAGTTTGATCTGGTTGCGACAAACCAATGTTCATTTTTACCTACAAATAAAATGAAACGAAAATCAAGCAATGAATGAATAGCACACAATTACGGAACTATTCAAGTCAATTTTTAACTGATCGGCAGATGAAACCTAAATTGAATATTAAATAATAAACACGCCATTCTAAACAAGGCACATATAAACCGACCTTTTACACTTATTCTTAACTAGCTACTATATGTGGCAAAGCAGTTGAAGAAAATGACCGCTGATAGAAACTCTGCACAGATTTAAAATATTCGATTATCAGGTATTAGTGTATTCTGTCAAGGATGTCATTAATAGGCTGGCTTTCCCCTTAACGGTCAAGTACAGAATGTGACAATGTGTTGGGTAACTGTGGGGAATGAAACAATTATCTCAGTATGTGTAGTCGTTTGTATGATTTAATTAAAAAGTAAATAATCAACAGTTATGTTAATACCCGGATATTATCAAAGGAAGATTCATTCAGCTTAAAATTTAATTAATGAAAGCTACAAAAGTTCAATAATTAAATAAAACAATATGCGATTCTGATATGAACAGGAAAAGCTTAAGTTGATTGAGTCAAAGGACGACACGATCCTTGAAGTCATTGACTGTTTATCTAAATGAGACGAATTGTAGGTGTTTGTGTCAATATACAAAAGATTCCAGGAATCAGCAACTCACAGCTTAATATGACAGTACTCGAAATCTATTATATTTGCATACATTCATTTATCCCTTTTATTTGACATTCCTAAAAGTCCATGATGGAAGAACATTTCCGGTCCAAAAGCCGATGAATAAAATGTAAGCAACAAGGCAATACAATAGTATATCAGTTACGTACATGTTCATGTAATACACTATAAACAGTACATTGTATGCAGGCTAAACACAATATGTGGTTGTCTAACTTTATTGATTGCATGTTGCATGTTGGGGGCATAAATTTCAAAGCCAAAGCCCCTCGAAGTAAACAAAAGATAACAGTACGGTAGATGAACTTAGTAGGGAAATAGAATTTATACACACATACAAAAAGCTAACTTACCTAGTCGTAAGATACCTAGACCCGTGGTTTGATCAAATCTGCTAAATGCTGCTTGTATGTTTTCGGGTGATATTTCAAATTTACTGCCCTTCTTTAAAAGGTTAACACTATTTAGTACAACACCTCTAGTGAAACATGTTTGTAAAGCTTCAGATCGATCTTTAAAGTTTGAGGTAAGCATGATTAGGTCTAAAACACTTTCTAAAAGCTGACTATAATTATTTCCAGAACTTTTCAGAGAATCAGTGAAATTTTTGGGATAAATAACTGGTAGAAATTGTGAGGATGGTTCCAAGCATGAAAGGAGGTAGTGACGCTCTGAATTATTCAGTTCATTTTGAATTATTTCCAGACTGCTTTTATCGAGCGGCATGTGATCATCCGAGAAATTTACAGAACTCATAGGAAAAAATATTCGAGTTGCAAGTTCTGAAGCTTGTAAAGCATAAGCTAAAAAAGTAAAAACAAGTTTTTCCTGATAGTTGAATCCACTAAACATCAGTTGAGTGAAAATGTGGTTTATTACTTAAAAAGTTACTTATCTCTTGGTTAGAGTATAATTACGCAAAAATTTACTTCACTTTGGATAGCCAGGTAGTAACACTACCCTTCATTAATAAAGTGTGTCTAAAAGTACATAACGTACTTTGCTAATATTTTATATGAAATTAGTTTAAAAGTTGGTTAGTCAACGTTCGAATATTATGTTTGCTTTAATGACTACTTATCAATTATGAAGTTTAAATTCAATTTGTGGAGTTAAGTAACCAGTAATAAAACAATTGTCTTACGTTAAGCAGAACAAGAAACTAGTTAATGGACGTACAAGAACAATAGTTGTTTTATGACTTAAAAACATCACTAAATAAAAGTAGTGTAAAAAATTTTGAAAATTACACTTACCGAAGTAACTATAGTAAATGATAGACTGAACAGACAGTATGCAAAATCTTGATAACCTAGTTGACTAAATATCACAAATTATGAATCATTACACATAGACGTTATCGTATAGCCTGAATATTTCACCGAAGGCCAGTACTAAAGTACACTGATATCGGACAGAAATGATTGTTAAGTAAATACACACGGTTAACACTGAAATACATATTATATGGACAGTTATATAATAATGAGTGATAAGGCCTAGAACAGCAAACAATAATTGAAATGATTTCCAATATAACCCACCTCCATGAACTAGTAAAGTGAGTTCTCTGGCCAGAGCCTTTTGAACTATACGACGATTAGAATGCTTCTATATTTTTAAATAAAAATCCAGAGAAGACAAATGGTTAAATTATTGTGGACAGTAAACTATCGCTAAATATTGATGAAGACTATAATTAAGAATATGACCAATATAATTCATTGACCATGTACAAAACTACTCGACCGAGTCACACTATTTGTATGAGAACTATCAATACCATCTGACTACGCAAACAAAAGTGCAGGAGAATTCAAACCGGCGATTCAGTGGATGAGAGCTAACCAATAACATGAAAAGTAGTTGTAAAATTATACCAAAACACACTAGTGCAGATCGGACAACAGATAGGGCTGGCTATATCTTTGGAAAGTCTTGATGTTAACGTTTGTTGTCTATCCGAGACCCGTATTCAAGACTCTAGTGAAGTACTACAAATTCGCTCTCCATCTAGCGCTTCGAAAAGTTTGTTTCACGTGCGCTTATCCGAGGACCCTGTGGCATCTTCGTCTGGTCTTGCTGGCGTTGGTGTCGCACTAAGCGCTAGAGCTGAGGCAGCACTAATCGATTGGATCCCAATTAACAGTCGGTTGTGTTGTTAGATTAGAAAGTTCCATCAAGGTGAGAAGAAATCGGCGTGAGAAAAGGTGTCTCTTCGTCATCTCCGCCTATGCAGATTGCAATCAAGGATGAGTTCTACCACCAGTTAACAGTTCTTCTCCAGAAAGCGCGTTCGACAGATATTGTAGTACTAGCCGGAGACTTGAATGCACAGGTCGGGCGTCTAGGCACAGAAGAGAGTCGTCTAGGTGGCCGATGGGGATTTGTTGGTGGCAGGACAGATAACGGGGACCGTCTACTAAAACTGTGCACAGACCACAACCTGTTTCTGACCAGCACTAACTTCCGGCACAGTCATCGCCGATGTGCCACCTGGCGTCCTCCCTCTGCATCTCAATCCTGGACTCAGATTGATCACATCGCGATCAGCTACCGCTGGCGTGGTTGTGTACAAGACTGCCGCTCCTTTTGGAGTACCTATCTGGACACTGATCATGCCCTAGTCTGCGCAAATCTTACCTTACTTTTCAGTGACGGAAGAATTGACCGCCATCAACGGATCGATGTTAGTAAACTGGCTGCAACTTCTGTTGCAAGTAAGTATCGAGCGGAGCTAGCCTCTAGGCTAGCTACCATCCCACCGAAAAGTATAGATGAGCATTGGTTGCAACTGTATGACGCCATGAAAATGGCAAGTAAAGCCGCCTGCAGTTTCGCGAAACGTTCCGCTTACAAGCACTGGGTTTCTTCTGGCTCCTTACAACTGATGGAAGCCCATCCGTCTACTCCGGGTGACCGTGAGTTTGACCACAAACGAAGGCTGTTACGCAACGAAACTGGACAAAGCTTGCGTAAGGATCGGGAAGCCTGGTTGTCGAAGCGTGCTAATGAGATGGAAGCAGCAGCTGCATCTGGTAACTGCCGGAAGCTATCAGTCAGCTACAACGTAGGACCAGGCACATATATGCATCGGTCCAAGTTGCCATACCTCGTTAGCACAACAAGATGAACACCGGATTCATAGAAGCAATTAATTTAGTGATGGTAGTATATAAAGAAAGATTGTATAGAAGGATATAGTACAGGAAGGAAGAGAGATATGAAGCAATTTTAATCTCAAGGTTTAAGGGAAGATAAAGAGTGTATACACCTACGCCATTGTGATCGATTCTGAGCCATGTCACCTAGAGTCTCCAACCATTTATTACGATAGTCACGCGGACCCCAACCAGGTAGTCTGCATCTGCCAACATGGCTCAGGCTAGAAGTTAGTGACTTCAAACACTGATGCCATGTTTTGGTTTGGCCGCCCCTAACTCTCTTCCAACCGTCCCCAATACTAGTCATCATAGCGCGTCGTGGTAATCGGTGTTCAGGCATACGTAACACATGGCCCAACCATCTCAGTCGATGAAGATTTATCACCTCATCAACTGATTTACCATCGTTACCTAATACCCTGCGTCTAACCTCACTATTACTTACTCGGTGATCCCAGCAGATGCGAGCAATATTTCTAAGGCATCTGTGGTCAAATACTAGTAACCTACGAGTATCTTCTACTCTTAATGGCCATGTTTCGCAGCCGTAGAGTAGAACAGAGCGAACTGCTGCGCAGTATACTCGTCCCTTAATTGATAGATGGATATCTCGTCTTCGCCATAGGTGACGTAAGTTGGCAAAAGCCAAACGAGCTTTTCGAACCCGTGCTGAGATTTCGTCAGACACCAACCCATTAGGGCTGATCAGACTTCCAAGATAAGTGAAGTTGTCAACGCGTTCGACTACTTCACTCCCTATCCTTAGTTCGAGTGTTGACGCAGGCCAGTCCTGGAGTAACAATTTACATTTGGATGGGGAGAAACGCATCCCAAACATCCTGGCATTATTACTCAGTTCCAACAGAAGACTCTGCATTTTGTCAGCGTCTTCACCAAACAGGACTATGTCATCTGCGTATTCTAAGTCGCTTAGTGGTCCCCCTGGTAGGAGATCAATTCCTGTAAACTCAGTCGAAGAGAGTGTTATTTCCAGCAACAGGTCTATAATGAAGTTAAACAAAAATGGGGATAGTGGACAACCTTGACGGACACCACTTGAGGTTGTAAAATCATATGACAGTTCGCCATAAGCTCTCACTCGACTGATAGTGTTCGAGTAAAGAGCCTTCACAAGGTTTATGTACTTCTCAGGTACACCTTTCAATGACAGACACTGCCACAGAACCTCTCGGTCTACAGAGTCAAATGCTGCTTTCAAGTCAAGAAAAACTATCATTGTCGGACGCCGATAAGCATGTCTGTGCTCTAAAACTTGACGAATGGTGAATATGTGGTCGATACAGCCACGACCAGGTCTGAAGCCAGCCTGATTTTCTCGTGTTTGCAGTTCACGAGTCTTAGTTAGGCGCCTGATAATTATTGAGGCTAGTATTTTAGATACTATGTTAGTCAGACTAATCCCTCTATGGTTATCGCAGGATGATTTTGACCCCTTTTTATATATTGGGACAATCAGTGATTGTGACCAGTCGGATGGGATTACATCCGTCTCCCAGATTTTAGCCAGAATATTAGTCAACCTAATCGCTAAAATTGGACCACCATATTTAAAGACCTCTGGAGCCAATCCATCAGGACCAGCTGCTCTTCCTCGTTTCAGATTACCTATAGCCTTTTGAACTTCAAGTAGGGTCGGGGGGCCTACTTCAATGTTCCATTCAGGTTTTCTAGGAATAGTGGGTAGTTGTGCAGTAGCTGAAGGCCAGCTAAACTGCTCCTTAAAGTGTTCCGCCCATCGTTCTAAACGTTTGGGTAGAGAGCAGATAAGGGTTCCATCTTTTTCCGAGATCGTCTCACTTACACTTGACTTCTTAATTCCAGTTTCTTTTATTAGTCTGAATAGTTGCCTGGTGTTGCCTACAGCCGCTGCCTTTTCCATCTCTTTTGCTTTCGTTGCCCACCACTGCTCACGATCGTTCCTTAGACTTTTAGTTAACCTAGATCTAATTTCTTTACGCTCTTCGTCATGTTCAGAGCCTGATGGTATGAGTTTACGCGAATCCATCAGTGAAATAGACCTAGAAGAAATCCACTGGTTTTTTGGAGCCCTATGGTTTAAATGACTAATAGATGTTACTGCTGTCTCCACAGCTGTTCGTATGCCTTTCCAAGCAGCATCTGGGTCAGTCTCGTTTACAGAACTGCCTAGATGTGAACTCAGTTGTCTCTGGAATTCACATTTGGCTTTCTCGTCCTCCAGTTCAATCCTAACGGGTCTTCTTAGTTTACTTTTCCTGCATCCATTGAGGCGCAGACAAATGCATGCTCGTATTAAAGCGTGATCAGAGTCTAAACAAGTATTCCAATACGAGCGACAATCTTCTATTGAGCCTCTCCAACGATGACTGATGACAATATGGTCTATTTGAGTCCATCGTTGGTTTGGTGCAGGTGGTCGCCATGTTAGACGATGTCTCTCCTTATGTTTAAAATTAGTGCTTGCCAAAAATAAACGATTGTCTGAGCATAGTTGCAACAGACGATCACCATTATCGGTTCGTTGAGCCGGAATACTAAAACACCCACCTAGATGTCTTTCTGTTTGATTCAAGCTGCCTACCTGGGCATTAAAGTCACCCGCTACGACTACTATGTCTGAGCGCTTAGCTTTCTGAAGAAGCTCAGAGAGCTTTCTGTAAAAGTCATCTTTCACCTCATCATGGCTGCAGTCAGTGGGAGCGTAGGCAGAAACGACGAAAAGGCAACGACGTGTGTCCCTATCCTTCCGAGTTCTTACGGAGCCATTTAGCCGGACAGCACACAGGCGACTGTCAACGGGGATCCACTCTAGTAGTGCCTGTTCTGCCCTTGTACTTAGTGCTATACCTACACCTGCAAGTCCACGAGAACTAGCCAACGGATCGCCAGATACACGGAGGGTGTATTTCGTTGGCTGTCCATTTTGGCGAGGTGAGGTCAGGTGAATGACCACACTAGGATCCTGTATGCGTGTTTCGGAGACACAGCATACATCAATGGTACGCGACTCTAAGGTTTTAGCTAAGGAGGCCTGTTGACCGATTTGACTTAAAGTACGTACGTTGAAGGCTCCAATGTGTAGTTTGGAGCGAGGTTTTAGTAGACCTGGGACAGCGTTTCGCGCACTAGAATCGTTGGCCATGGTGACACTTGAGGAGGAAACCGAGAGAGGAAGTTTAGTGTTGAAAGTCAAGGTAGTAGGAATTGAAGAAGGAGATTGATTATGAATACAGTGGTCTTGAGTGTTGTTAGAGGTATGAGGGCAGTTATCACTTCCCGGTTGCCCACACCGTGGAAGGATTCTTCTAGAGGTACCTGAAAAGGAAATTGGGTTAGAAGTGGTCTTAATGACCGGAGAGCGTGACCGCAGTGCCCAAGGGACAACTGCTTGAGGTCGGTCACACACGACCTTTTTGTGGGTAGTTTTTGTGTTAGCTCCGTTCTTCAAAAAAAACCTTACCGCCGGAGACGGATATCCGTGGGATAAGGCGAGGTGTGCATTTTTAGGGTCGACCTTTTCTAACCCCACCCCTCCTTGTGGGAAGGCAGCATCGCTGTCATGCTGGTTGTCTGAAGGAAACACCTTACTGCTTTCACACCTCTGTACAGTCAGCAGTACGACTTCGCCTTCGGACCTTGGGTTTGCTGCTTTTAGTCTCACCGCTCTTCAATCGACCTGTCTGGCATGGTAGGACCTCGAGGAACGATTGTTCCAGCCAGCATAGCTCGATTGCTTCATCACGATAGGCAAGCCCGACCACCACGTCAAGGTAGCAGCAACGGTCGGGACTGCCGGAAGCTCTTCCAACTCATCCGAAGGACTGGCAGCAAGAAGTCTGGTGTGAGTGAAACAATCTACGAGGATGACGGGGTGCCAATCACTAACATCTGTCGACGTCTTGGACGATGGGCGGAATTCTTTGAAGGGCAGTTCAACTGGCCTGCTGCTCCGGCAACATCAACCAGTCTGTCCTGCCCCCCCCCATGGCCGGTGACGACTGATCCACCAAACGAGGCGGAAGTCCGCAAGGAACTCCAACTCTTGAAACACTACAAATCACCGGGCGCAGATGACTTACCTCCGGCTCTGTTTAAAGATGGTGGTGACTTTCTGGCTAAGGAATTGACTGCGTTGTTTGGAAAGGTTTGGGAGCAAGAAAGTGTTCCAACATCTTGGAATGAGTCAATAGTCGTCCATATCTTTAAAAAGGGTTCACGTTGTTCCTGCAATAACTATCGGGGGATAAGTCTACTTTCGATTGCGTCCAAACTATTGGCTTCTATCATTCTTCGGTTGTTTAAAACCCGAGAAAGATTGACTCGCGAGGAGCAGGCTGGTTTTCGTTCTGGTCGAGGATGCATTGATCACATCTTCACCCTTCGCCAAATGTTAGAACACCGTCATATTTATCACAGGCGAACAATCGTAGTGTTTCTTGATATCAGGGCTGCCTTCGATTCGTTGGACAGGACTGTTCTCTGGGATTGTCTATTGAAGAAGGGTGTGCCTGAGAAGTTCATTAACATCTTAAAGGCCCTGTATACGAACACCTCCGGCAGAGTGATGGCATACAACCACCTTTCTCCCTTGTTCCATCCAAGCAATGGGGTTAGGCAGGGTTGCCAAACCTCACCATTCCTCTTCAACTTTACCATCGATGACATTCTAGAAACAGCTCTGATGGATGTAAGTAATGGCGGTGTGGATATGCTGCCTGGAGAAAGACTTCTCGACCCTGAGTATGCCCAAGGCATGCAATCCGCACTTAATCAGTTGGCAATCAGTGTCCGCAGGTACGGTATGTGCTTTGCACTCTTCAAGTGCAAAGTACTCCTACAAGAATGGCAGGATTCTAATCCTGTACTCACCCCGAATGGTAGGTAGATTGAAGCAGTTGAGAAGTTCATGTATCTAGGTAACTGCATAAGTGCTGTTGATATCTTGAGTGATGAGATCGATGCTCATATATTGAAAGCCAGAGCGGCTTATGTCAATCTGGGCAATCTTTGGCGCCTTCGTGATGTTAGTCTGGCTATAAAAGGTCGGATCTACAACGCATCGGTGAGAGCAGTTTCGCTCTATGTTTGTGAAATCTGGCCTCTCCGAGTTGAGGATGTTAGACGTCTCTCTGTGTTCGATCATCGTTGTCTCCGAAGGATTGCTGACATCCAGTGGCAACACCATGTTAGTAATGCAGAGGTTCGGCATCGTGTGTTCGGGCACAGAGACGATAATTCAATTGGTGTCACCATCTTGAAACACCGACTTCGATGGCTTGGACATGTTTTACGAATGTCGTCCCAGAGACTTCCACGTCGTGCATTATTTGCCGACTCTGGGACTGTTTGGAGAAAGCGGAGAGGAGGTCAGTGTATGACATGGTGTCGTGGCATGAAAGAAAGCTGCAAAGGACTAGCTTCTGTTGGTCCTTCACGACATGGTGCAACACAGTGGCTAGAGACGTTATCAGACATGGCTCAGAATAGAAGCCGGTGGCGAGCCTGCTGTAACCTTTTACTTTCTTCATAAAGAGTGGTTATAACCTCCTTAACTGAAAGAGTTCTTCTGGTTGTACATTTCAGTCTCCCCAACCATTACTCTTATTTTGTTATATATGCATCTTACCCCTTTTCTCTTCCCATTCTAATTGTTTTGTGTGGCGCATATATATCTGGTCCCCCCTTGTACCAATATTTATGTGTTTAAATAAAATAAATACCAAAACCTCGTTATGATTAGAGAATCATCATGGAATGACATGTAAACTGGTATCTGACAAAATATAAGTGCTAACTACTCTTAACGCACGAAGCCACCGACAGATCAATCCCATTGAGGAAACTATATCAAGAATTCCATCATGTTAGGAATTATCACTTGGCCACATGGTATCTGTTATGTATTTGACCTAGCCGTAGCCAATTGTTATGACTTAATCAAGGTCGTCGCTGATTTAACAATGACGTAATCCGCGCAAATTATCCACCAATAGAATACGCCTTCTACGGCTTTCACACTGTGACAATGACGTTCGATTAATATGAGTAATCTAGCGTCCTTATTGGTCCTTATCCGCCTAACCCGTCCACTTGAGTCCAAAACACCAATAGCAGCCTCGGCAATACGAATCGTTTATTTCAAGCATACTTTGTTTATATATCAGACAGACAGGCCACATCATACCATAAAATAGAAAATAATATTTGTACAAAACCAAGCCAAATGAGGCTGTAAGCGTGGGAGACAATAATCAATAAACTGAGTATAACTTAGGAACAGTAAATCATACAATAATAATCAATAGGTCAAAATGAAGCTTACAATAAGATGAATATAGATATAGATAATCTAGTTACCGAATAGTTATACGATAAGAATGATAGTCCAATAGTAGGTCCTGCAAGTTACCCGTACTTATGTCTTCGCTACTACACAACAGTATCATTCCATATTACTTATAAAACACTATTAGATTCTTTACTTTACCAATCCGAAACTCGCTCAGATCATTAAGTCCCAATACATGACAGTAATAACCAGCATTAGTCTCACGGATTAAAATTATTACGTTAGCGTTTTGTTAATAGCTAATTAACACCAACTAGACGAAATGCAAAATAGTCACTCAGCTTTAGAGATGAAAGTTTGAATTTTTAACCTTAAATGTCTTTTGAAAACAAGTAATAAGTTTTCTGAGCAGAGAGATGTACAGCAAACAACTCACTTTATGATCAATTAACAATTGATCTATTTCATCGGGTCCAAAGAAGGTCAATTGACGAACTAGTTTATCTGATATAATACTATCAGGCAAATTTAAAATCTTTTGGTAGAAATTGTAAGGTTTTAGTTTTTTACTCATTAGCCATATAGTATCCATTCCACATTCTGAGTTCGAAACAGATTTTCCCAATTTCTGACCATCTGGGGTAGTCAGCAGAGGAACAGTTAAGCCTAATCGATAAAATAATATATTTGGTTGGTTTAAATGTTCTGCAATAGATCAATTTCCATGATTGTCGTAAATTATAATTTACACAATACGATGAAAACAACAAGTTAATTTAATACAAAAATATAGTACTTTGAACATTACACCTAAATAAATTAATGTTATAACGAATAAAACATCACAATGAAAAACAAAAAATATTACTCTGGGAAATCATTACATTGAGTTAAAAAACGGAGGTAAAGTTGACCAAAAATCACGAGTCAAAATGTGATTTTCCTTTTTATCCCGTCATATCATGAACAGAAACAACTTCGGGCACAGTCATCACAGATGTTGTCAAGTATATTCCACCTGGAACTCAAGTCTAGACCCAGACTGACCACAGTGCTATAGGCTACTGGTAGAGTGGTTGCATACAAAACTTCTGCTAATTTTAGAGGACCTATCTGGACTCTGATCATAGCTTAGTTTGAGCCAAGCTTATCTCGCGTTTTCGCGGCAAGTAAACATATCGCTCTAAAGGGATTGATCTAGGTAAATTGACTGTAGCTCCAACTGGAACCAAATATCAAAGCGGATTAGATTCGAATCTAGCTACCAATCCATTGGAATGTGCAAATGAATATTGGATGTGTTTGTATGACGACATGAGAATGATGGTTCATGTCACTTGCAACATTATGAAGCGTCCCGTTTATAAACAGTGGATTTCTGTAAGTGCCTTACAACTCTCTAAGTAACGTCAAATTTTCCAGTGAACCATGAGTATGATGATAAATGTAGATCCTTACGTAAATTAAGAGCCGTTAGAAGTAGTTGAAGAGTTTATATGTCTCGGTGGTCATGTGACTTCCAGTAATAGCAGAGCTGATGAAATGGTTATAAGCGATTAAGGTCAGAGTAGTTTATATTAATTTCAGCTATGTTTGGAACCATTTTTATGATAGTCCGGAGATAAGAGATCGAGTCTACAATGCATCGGCAAGAGCAGTTCCTTCTTATGCTTGAGAGACATGACCTCTGTTAGTTGAAGATGTCAGATGACCCTGCGTTCAATATTCGTTGTTTCTGTGATATACCACAGCTCTTCCTCTTTCCTTACAGTTCTGTTGCATACGTTTCGTAATGAATTACCTTAAAGTTTGAAACTATCGAACCAGTCTAACACTAAAAAATGTAGGTTATCATCTGATATGTAACATATTCGAGTTATAGTCACATCTTTGAGTGTTACTGAGTATGATAGAACTCATATAAGTTTCAGTTTATCATTTGTTGCGCTCACTGAGAACTGACTTGTAGGTTGCGGACTGGGTTTTCTCATCTTAGTCCACGTTTTTTTTCTGGAAAGGATGTTTATGTCTGAAGCGGTATCCAATTGTAATCTTATATAATGGCTATTTATCAGAAGTTCAATAAACTTCCTGGCCCGCCTTTTATGTACTTGATTTATCGTAAATACAGGAAAAGGTTTAAACGGTTTCATAATTTATCTGTACCTTCCTCAGAAATTTGATTTCCGGTGGCTATTTTGCTGCTTGCAATAAGTCTCTCTATGTCCACCAGTATAACATTTTTACAATGGTTTTTAAATGGACAGGATTTTGCAAAATGCCTAGCACCACAATACCAACATCTGGACGGGGGGAATTCAGACTTTTCTTTTGATTTTTCGTGTAATGTGGATGTTGGGGTCTTGGAATCAGGACAGACTTTACATTGGACTGCTTGAACGTCAAACCTATTTTGACCACCGAACTGAACTAGTTTGGTGTCGTCTTTGATGTTTGTTAACCGTTGATATTCTTCAACAACTTCCTTAAGTGTTAACTTTGGGTCCTGATCGAAACGATGTAACAGTCGTGTACGAATATCAGCAAACTTTTCAGATCGTAAGCTACAGATAAATATTAGTGATTTGAATTGGTCCTCAGAAAGAGTTTTTAATTTGAACAAAAATAAAATAATAATAGTAATCGTCGTTTGTCAAGTTATATCCAACCATAGAAGGGATAGGGGGTTCACGGATTTCTTCTGGATACATAAATTGCGGTTAAACGTGCGAATTCCTATGGCTCCAGCGATATGTAGGAGATGGGATCGAACTCCGTTGGGAAATGATGGAGTTATACAATAGATCACTCGAAATGGTTCCGATTTATTTACATTGTGACCTCTATCAATTAGATGTGTCAAGATAGAACTGCGTTTAGACTGTTGCATCCCTTCAGACTTGAGTAAACATAAAACAGAGGGGGGTCACGATGACTGATTACTATCAGTACATAGAAGAAACAAAAAGTGGTGATAATACACAATAAATAGTTAATTAAAAATAAGCTACACTAGTACGAACGAATATAGTAACCAGACTCATTCAAAGTAATAGAGGTATTGAAGTGAAACGCAAAGTACTCTCTGGATAGATACACAATATTAGATTTCACTTACCAAAAGCACGCCGACCAAGTTTGCGATAGATGAGGTTTAATCCACAAGTTATGTTGCCGATCTGATCGTGCCCACCAACCTATAATAAGGTTTATTAGGATCTCCTTATATATACCTGCATGTAACAATTAAACTTTTCATGTAGGTATAGGAAGTCTATTGCTTGTACAATTGGATAAAAAAATTCCCCAAGATCCATAGTATTTCCACTTTCCATTCTTATTTTAACGCTAAAGAATGTTATCAAAATGATTTGGAATAAATTGATATGTCATTAGGTATGGGTTAGAATAAATCAGTAATTATTCTGATGAAATAACTTTTTAGAGCATTTTGGGGGAGCAGAGTAATTTTTGGTTGTTTTTACTCAAACTACAGCATTCTATATTTTATTTTTGATATGGATGACCCTTCCCAATTTCCAAAAGTGACCAGCAGTGTGATGACATAAAGTATACCGTAGAAATTCATTGAGTAAAATCACTACAAAAAGGTAGGGATAAAGGGAGATGACTCAGTTTTTCTGCATTACCTTGTAAGACGCTGGTGGATAACTTTCTAATGAAATTTGTGGCAACTGTGTTCCATCCTCATTCATCTTTCTGAGATTTTGTGAGCTAAATATTATACTGACCAACTCATAGTTTAGTTGTCTTTGTAAGCTGTATTTTAGGATAAAACAGAAAAACACTTATTCGAAATACACTTTACAGTACACCAGCAGTTAATGGCACTTTCCACCACTCAGTCAGTCAGTCAGCTACAACGTAGGACCAGGCACATATATGCATCGGTTCAAGTTGCCATACCTCGTTAGCACAACACTCATTCAGTGCTGATATTTAACCGTCGTAAAACTACAACACCTTTGACCATAAATGTTGAAACTGCTGTCATAAAATGACATCAGGAATAACAGGGAAATTTATTACGTTGGTGAAGAATGCCAGATTGACCTTGGGGAGATCCAACCACTTTTTAGGGTCAAAGGAGGAATCAGAGGGTCTTTACCATGAACTAAAACCAGCTGTAGTGCCGAGATGCTACATATCTACATTTATGAATGAATTTCAGGTCAAAATCCGGTTTTTTTAAAATCTGATTGGTTTGTTTACAAAATATAGTTCCACTGAGTCGTTTACATACAAGTCAGTCAGTCAGCTACAACGTAGGACCAGGCACACATATGCATCGGTCCAAGTTGCCATACCTCGTTAGCACAAGATGAACACCGGATTCATAGAAGTAATTAATTTAGTGGTGGTGGTAGTAGTATATAAATTATAGGTTGTATATAAGGATATAGTACAGGAAGAAAAACAGATATGAAGCAATTTTAATCTCAAGGTTTAAGGGAAGATAAAGAGTGTATACACCTACGCCATTGTGACCGATTCTGAGCCATGTCACCTAGAGTCTCCAACCATTGGTTACGATAGTCACGCGGACCCCAACCAGGTAGTCTGCATCTGCCAACATGGCTCAGACTAGAAGTTAGTGACTTCAAACACTGATGCCATGTTTTGGTTTGGCCGCCCCTAACTCTCTTCCAACAATCCCCTACACTAGTCATCATAGCGCGTCGTGGTAATCGGTGTTCAGGCATACGTAACACATGGCCCAACCATCTCAGTCGATGAAGATTCATGACCTCATCAACTGATTTACCATCGTTCCCTAATACCCTGCATCTAACCTCACTATTACTTACCCGGTGATCCCAGCAGATGCGTGCAATATTTCTAAGACATCTGTGGTCAAATACTAGTAACCTACGAGTATCTTCTACTCTTAATGGCCATGTTTCACAACCGTAAAGTAGAACAGAGAACTGCTGCGCAGTATACTCGTCCTTTAATTGATAGATGGATATCTCGTCTTCGCCATAGGTGACGTAAGTTGGCAAAAGCCAAACGAGCTTATCGAATCCGTGCTGAGATTTCGTCAGACACCAACCCATCAGGGCTGATCAGACTTCCAAGATAAGTGAAGTTGTCGACGCGTCCGACTACTTCACTCCCTATCCGTAGTTCGGGTGTCGACGCAGGCCAGTCCTGGAGTAACAATTTACATTTGGATGGGGAGAAACGCATCCCAAACATCCTGGCATTATTACTGAGTTCCAACAGAAGACTCTGCATTTTGCCAGCGTCTTCACCAAACAGGACTATGTCATCTGCGTATTCTAAGTCGCTTAGTGGTCCCCCTGGTAGGAGATCAATTCCTGTAAATTCAGTCGAAGAGAGTGTTATTTCCAGCGTCGGTGGTTCAATGGTAGAATGCTCGCCTGCCACGCGGGCGACCCGGGTTCGATTCCCGGCCGACGCAAACCACTTTGCTCCTAAATGCCCTGGTACGGCCGAGAGTGGGGAGAGTCTACTCTCCCTCTCGAAATGCTCTCACATGGCCAGCGAATATATAGCCTCTGCCAGGGAAGTCCTACTCACTGCCTTCTCGTGGCGGGGGTGTTGTTTACGAAAGTGAGAGGACGAAAAGCGAATGTCCGGCGCTTTAACCGGGTTGGTGGACACGGAGGGTCCACCTAGGGGAGTTGGAAAACCCTGATTCCAAACCAATGGTGCACATGGGCTCCAGTATCCTGATGGAACGACTGGCGGACGAACCTGTCATTGGTCAACGGCTACCATGGGACTGCATCTCCTCACGATGCTCCACTGCCTTGTGGATCAGACCTTTATGTCAAAGGCTCGGGGTGTGGCCCCCTAAGAAAACCACCTGCTTCGGTTTGGGCACCCGGGCAGTATCACAGCCCGCACACAAATAAATGAAATGATGAATTCTTATCTTTTCATCCCTTCTCTTCCTACTTTCATTATTTTGTGTGGCGCATATGTACCTGATGCCCTTTTGTACCAATATATGTGTTTAAATAAATAAATAAATATTTCCAGCAACAGGTCTATAATGAAGTTAAACAAAAATGGGGATAGTGGACAGCCTTGATGGACACCACCTGAGGTTGTAAAATCATATGACAGTTCACCATAAGCTCTCACTCGACTGGTAGTGTTCGAGTAAAGAGCCTTCACAAGGTTTATGTACTTCTCAGGTACACCTTTCAATGACAGACACTGCCACAGAACCTCTCGGTCTACAGAGTCAAATGCTGCTTTCAAGTCAAGAACAACTATCATTGTCGGACGCCGATAAGCGTGTCTGTGCTCTAAAACTTGACGAATGGTGAATATGTGGTCGATACAGCCACGACTAGGTCAGAAGCCAGCCTGATTTTCTCGTGTTTGCAGTTCACTAGTCTTAGTTAGGCGCCCGATAATTATTGAGGCTAGTATTTTAGATGCTATGTTAGTCAGACTAATCCCTCTATGGTTATCGCAGGATGATTTTGACCCCTTTTTATATATTGGGACAATCAGAGATTGTGACCAGTCGGATGGGATTACATCCGTCTCCCAGATTTTAGCCAGAATATTAGTCAACCTAGTCGCTAAAATCGAACCACCATATTTAAAGACCTCTGGAGCCAATCCATCAGGACCAGCTGCTCTTCCTCGTTTCAGATTAGTTATAGCCTTTTGAACTTCAAGTAGGGTCGGGGGGCCTACTTCAATGTTTCATTCAGGTTTTCTAGGAATAGTGGGTAGTTGTGCAGTAGCCGAAGGCCAGCTAAACTGCTCCTTAAAGTGTTCCGCCCATCGTTCTAAACGTTTGAGTTGAGAGCAGATAAGGGTTCCGTCTTTTTCCGAGATTGTCTCACTTACACTTGACTTCTTAATTCCGGTTTCTTTTATTAGTCTGAATAGTTGCCTGGTGTTCCCTACAGCCGCTGCCTTTTCCATCTCTTTTGCTTTCGTTGCCCACCGCTGCTCACGATCGTTCCTTAGACTTTTAGTTAACCTAGATCTAATTTCTTTACGCTCATCGTCATGTTCAGAGCCTGATGGTATGAGTTTACGCGAATCCATCAGTGAAATAGACTTAGAAGAAATCCACTGTTTTTTTGGAGCCCTATGGTTTAAATGACTAATAGATGTTACTGCTGATTCCACAGCTGTTTGTATGCCTTTCCAAGCAGCATCTGTGTCGGTCTTGTTTACAGAACTGCCTAGATGTGAACTCAGTTGTTTCTGGAATTCATATTTGGCTTTCTCGTCCTCCAGTTTAATCCTAATGAGTCTTCTTAGTGTACTTTTCCTGCATCCATTGAGGCGCAGACAAATGCGCGCTCGTATTAAAGCGTGATCAGAGTCTAAACAAGTATTCCAATACGAGCGACAATCTTCTATAGAGCCTCTTCAACGATGACTGATGACAATATGGTCTATTTGAGCCCACCGTTGGTTTGATGCAGGTGGTCGCCATGTTAGACGATGTCTCTCCTTATGTTTAAAATTAGTGCTTGCTAAAAATAAACGATTATCTGAGCATAGTTGCAACAGACGATCACCATTATCGGTTCGTTGGAATACTAAAACACCCACCTAAATGTCTTTCTGTTTGATTCAAGCTGCCTACCTGGGCATTAAAGTCACCCGCTACGACTACTATGTCTGAGCGCTTAGCTTTCTGAAGAAGCTCAGAGAGTTTTCTGTAAGTCATCTTTCACTTCATCATGGCTGCTGTTAGTATGCAATATGATTCTGGACTTGAGATCACACTAAACTGTTAAAATAACAAATATGTCTCTAGAAGTCCACGGTAAATTGCAGAGTATACTAGACTCGGCAATGTACTACAAAAGGTATATGAAAAAGATCAAATAATTTCGCAATGTTCACTTTCACAATCAAGGGTGCTAAATGGAGGGAATCATGACCTACACAGTTTTACAGATGGATTAGTGTAGGGTGCTTGATTACAAATAAAATTATGCCATGCCATAAGATACAAAAGTAGTATAACAAAATAGATTTGTCATCATGCAGATCCACTTTAACAGGTCCAATGATAAATAAATATATGATGGATAGACTAACCTTTCTTTTTCCAACAATTCTGACAACTTGAAGTGGGGCAAAACTTCGCACGAAACATCCATCACCTTTTTTTGAGTAAGCCAATCGGAATTGTTAACGACATGAACTGAACCTAGTTTTCCAGAAATAGGTAAAGCAGGGACAATGTGTGTCCAGTAATTATAGATTATATTATCCAGACTGTGCTCTATGAGAGTGGAATTGGAGGCATACTGTCCCAAAGATTGATAATCACGTTTTTTAATTCTGCCACTAGGATCACCCAAGATACCAGTAGATCCACCAACCTTGAGAATGTTATAAAACTTGAAGCAACTAACATACAACTGCAACAATATCTTTGCCAGATAAGTGGCATCGAAGCAAACCACAGACAGCTACAAGGTTTCCTAACTGCAGGCTGTCACATGTAGGATCAAATCCAGCATAAACAGAAAAGCTTTTTGTCGTTTCAAGGTCTAACAGGTGTTTTTCACTTGAAATCTACTCTGTTTACGTCATTTACAAAAATACCTTTTATTGGGTAGAATTTCTAAAAAGTAGCCACTTGTTAGGTAATCACTAATCTTCTTTTGCGAGTGGTAATTTCTGCGGACAGACCTGACAGAACGCTGCCATCTGGACACTAGGTGTAACGCAAGCATCGAAAGTGTTTGACTCAAATACCAAAATTTTCTTAACTGAAATAATGATATTCAGGTTCTTCTTCGAAGTTGTAAGGTATAGATCTTGCCTGAGAAAAAGTTTGATTGATGTTCTTATATTCCAGAAACCCGAAAAAAGATAATGGGAATTCAGACTTACACTAAGGATAGTGTAATGGATTCCTGATGGCCATTTTCCCATGATTCTCTCTGTATGTTCAGTTTTTGGAATGAACAAATTGAAGGTCCACACCACTCATCTTAGTTTTCAACTTCAGAAGTTTATTAGTCAGTGGAAAAACCTGCATAATGTAAAGATTTTTTCCATTCGTGGCTTTTGAACTTTCCTGTATTGTCAGCTAAGTTATCCTGATTCTGTTGAGACACAAGTGGAGAACGCGTAATATATTAATTGACTATGACCTATTTACAGGTCATGATCAATCCAGTTTTAATTGTAGTGTGGGACAGTGTAAAGAGGTTTAACTTCCCAAATCACTCGGTTTATGGTCATTCACGCAACGTCTGGATTCTGGGGTTGGTAGTTTCCTATACTTTTTCGAGGGACCTCGGGAGCCTCTTGTGTCAGATTTGTGGCGGGCACATTATTTTTTTAATCTTAATCTCGCTAGAGCCATCCAACCAAAGGTATATTTGGTGAAAGCCCGTCTAGACGCCAGAACTCTTAAGAACCCGCAGCAAGGCGATGCTTATTATGTCATGATTATTCCTATCGTTTTATCCATTTGACATAAAGGAAAAGTAGCTGCGATAATTGGCAGAGACTATGAGCTGGCTTGTTTATTGAATCGAGGAATTTGATCTAGGGTTAAAGTACATCTTCCTCCACAGCTATTCTTCATACTCTAACATTATCATGGCAAAGTAGTAGTGGATAATAGATACTAGCTGTTAGTTTTTCAAGGAAACATGAACATTGATTGTCATAGTCCTGATCCATATTTTATCCAGCGACTATTGGTTTTCTATAGGAGACCTTGAGATTGATCCGTACTTTCCACTGGCGACCAACCTGGAAGATGTGATCACTAATTGGGATTCAAATTATGAATGGTGCTTTTGTCATGACTTACACATTTCGTATTTTCACTTAACCTTTACGACTACGGTTATTAACTGTTAGTTGTTGTTCAAGTCGAAAATAGTTTACTTATACACTGTTTAGATGCTCTGTCGTTTATCGTACGTTTAAAACCATACCACTTTAAACACCCCTCTGTTCTCTCTCGCATATCCAGGTTATAGCAACTCACATGCAATTGAGTTTGTTCACATTTAATTTGGTTAAGCCCTTTCGTTAACTTATTTAACGGACTAAGTCATTCGTACAATAACTTACGTATACTATTGTACCTTTATTATTGTTGCACTTGTAATAATACGTATGCTTGAGCATTGCTTACTGCCTACAAATATATTCGTTCTGCTATCCTAACTATTAATCGCTTAATTGATTCGATGATGCATTCATTTCCATACGTATATATATGTACATTTTAATCCTGTTCACTCACTCACACACTCGTTCATTGACTCGATCACACTCTTGCTCGCTTGCTTTTCGGCACTACTCTTTATTGCTTGCTTAACGTGCCTTTAATTTCGGCAATCTGTGCGTGGTGCAATATTAAACTAAATCAACACTTCGTATTCGCCTTCTGATTTATACACCGTTGGGGCGTTACCTAGTGACAGTAATCAGGACGATCAATACGAAGTCTAAGGATAATATCGAATACCGACAACCACAAGGTTTTTGACGTGCCTGTAGCTCAATTTTTGGTCTATGCTTCAATAACTATCTGGAACAGTTCTCCGCAGCAGTTATCGCCGTAGTTTCGCCAATTTCACATCAGAAATTTAGAACGTTTGTGAACTAACAACTAGGCTACCATCAGCAACTAACCTTCAGTATAATCCCGAACTCATATTCGCAAGAGTTATATCACTTTAGATGTAAGAACATTTACTATTAGGATTCCTCTTATGTATACTTTCAGCACGTAAATAATTCTGAGTAGCTCAGGGGAGTAGAACATCTAAATTTCAGTTAGTAAACCTGATAATAGCATATGATTTTGTGGAAACCAAATATCAATAGAAAGTGACACCTAAAATATTATAACCAATGAATCAACTGCATTTTATACACTTATGCATACTCGATAGCTCTTGAAGATCACATGATCTACATGTTAAATTTCTGATTTGATCATTTGATTAGTTCTTCTGATGCTTGGAGTAACGTTATACTGACTTGATGCCTATATGTTATGAATACATGAGTCTACTGGACTAACTCAAAGTTTTACACAGTCTGACGAAAAATGAATCAGAAATATCTAACTTTTTAAACATTGTATGTACGGTCTACTTCTGCACAGGTTTATATGTATCTTTGCACTAATTTATGGAAATCCCACGCGTATGTGTCTCACATAACTACAACCTTTTGTCCTTACTTCAAACTGTAAATTCAATAATTCGGCCCTCTCAGCCTCATTTTTTGTCAGATTTCGGCTCTCTGTGAGACTGTTATTTTTCAATTTATTTACAATTTCAATTTGTCCTACGTTTCACTTATTTTTGGGGTGTTTACATACACACATAAAGGGGTGTTTACAGATTATTTTAGATCTAATTTTACTTTACCTTCAACCTTGGCATCTGCCATCATCGTTTCCCGTAGCTGATTACTACTCGTTAAAATGAATATCTTGATCTATATGAAAAGGGCTAGAATGCTGTACTCTGATTTACAGAGTAACCTTTTTCTTTTCATTGATCATAACTTTGTGTTCTTTATCTATTTGTCTACTTCATGTACTATAGATTAGGTCGTTCACTGTTTCTGAACAGCACTGTGAGCTGCCTAGCGTGGTGCTGTTATTCCTTAAGGGATAAATATTCAATGCATATTTGTAGTTTTTGTCATTAGAACCGAACCCAACAAAATCATTGCTTTCTTTCTTACTTATGGGAAGGAATGAATATCTAACGTTTAGCTGAAGTAAATATAAGAGGGATCAATTTGGGTTTTAAAATATGAAGCTCTGCACCACTATAACACGCTGTACTCAATCAAAGAACTTAAAAAACGTGATAGTGAGTGTGACGACCGAAATTTCGGTACTTTGTCTGCATGCAGAGCAAACGAATCACAGTTTACTCGATTGCGCCAGACGATGCTTTTTGTATAGATTATGAAGCATTTATGAGTGGTTCGTAATAAAGTATATCAAAACTGAAACCATATGCTCAATTTAAACGGTTCTAGTTTAACAAAAAAACAAATTATATCAAAAGTTAAGAATACCTCAAACAGAACAGCTGTGCTACACCGTCAAACGTTTCTCTAGTACAAAATAACGTGCTAAACAGCAAAAGAAATGATCAATATGTAAGTGCTCGAAGCCTGGGGGTCGATAAGACTATTCTCAACGAGATGGAATCATATATATCTGAAAGGATTTTAACAATCGTATCCAGCAGACTGTCTAACGTTTACAACCACCAACGAAACCATTAGTTTAGTCAAACACGACTCCATTGTCATTGACCTAGTAACATGCAATCGTAAAGTTAAGCAATGAAAATTGATACTTAGCCAAAGTCAAATAATAAAAGTCTGGACAAACGAGTCTGAAGAACATAAAATGTTGTTACAAGGGACCTCTGTAAAATTTGAAGCTCAAGACAAGGAAAAAGAAATGAGGTATAACAACAATATTCTATCAAACACTTCGGAAGAATTTTCAGCGTATTCTTCTCGTTACGGTAAGTTCAAAATCCTCTTTGATACTTCCATGTCCAAATATGTGGGGGATTCATCTACGTATGCTTTTCTAGCTCAATAGTACCTTGTCGTTCCATAGTATTTATTGCTGCTCCTGTTGTTATCTGCGTCGTTGTATGTTTCTTTCTTGGTTTCTTTTTAATTATTAGCTTCATTATTTTCACGGATTCTGAGTCATCAATAACTGTTTGATATTGCCAAGTTTTCTATTAACTGTTTGCCTCTGCATACTTAACACTGTTTTATGGCAGTCGCCATATTGAACTGCTATATTTTCTTCGTTACTCTGTGAACTGGTAGCCTCTGTTTCATGCGGATGATTTTGAAACAAGTTACTTGTTTGTTTTAGGGACGTTTACTCTTAGTGACTGCTAATTGCTTGCCTTCGAAGCAAATCTATTCAAACTTTGATTTCATGGTGTGATATTGTCCCTTGCTTGATAGAAATATCTCCTTATTGTGACAATTGAGTTTTATAAGGTGTCTGTACCAGTCGGAAAAAGTGCCACTCAGTAACTCTACTGTGCTATCACGTAATCATAAGGAAGGTATGAGTGTGGTGTTTGAATGAACCAATGATTCTACTGCATTGACGACTGTTTTGATTTTGAATCCCAAATACAATACATTCGTTCGTGCTCATCTAATACTTCTTAATTAAATCGCGTTGTTTCTGGGATTACTAGTTTATACTTTAATTCAAATACTCTTAAGTATCACAATGGGCTACCACCGTTCTTTGAATTACTGGACCGAAGTAAGCGGAACTGCACAGAAACGCTGAAGCAATCTATATTGACGTTCACTTTTTCAGTAGAAACGTGAAACTGAATTTACCCAGCAAGCACCGGTTGATTGATTTCTAATGCTCATTATTTGAATTCTGGACTAACTAGTGTTAAGGATAGACAGTCTTTTGGTAAAATCGTCCAACAAAGGTATTCTGTCGAGTTTGCACCATTATTTTCATTGTCAACTTAGTTGAATATACGGTATGGACAAAAATATGATCCATGTGATTAGCTGACTCGCTATACAATCAGTTCCAAACTAACTTGTATTTGACCGTCAGATTTTTCATGTGAATGTGAAATGAACTTTGCACCGGGATCTAGATTAAGAATATACACAAGCCACTGAGAATAAACTGAAAATGAAAGTGTAAGTGGACATGTGTTATACACTTGGAGCTATATGTCAATGCTAGACGCTTGTAATTGATTTCCATGTACCAAAACGAACTGCTACTAGAGTTTTAACTCCATGTGTAGGTTCTGCCCAAATTCCATTCGCCTTACATTTACTGGTTCGGTGATTATCTGTGGTATCGATCACTTTGTACGCAGAACATTTGGCTAGTGGCTTCGACTCGCACCACATATATTTTCCGAACTTGTAACTTTTGGTTGTTTGTTTTGTCTATAATAGTTTAAGATATGTATACTTT